ACTTGTGGGTGCAAGACACATCTAAATGCGTCCAACCTGTTGGTCATGTAATCACAGGTGACTTCACTAGCGTTGACAATAACAGCCTTCGCCAGTTATTCACATATGACGAACAATATCATGAACAGACTGGGATCACAACAGTAAAATAAGTATTGAGGCTATCAAAGCGTGTAGCTAACTTGGTCCAATAGAAATGAATCTGTTGAATGTCTTTCAGAGTGGATAAAGTCAGTGCGTGACGTTGTTATTGGTAGAAAGCACAAACTGAAACACGCCAGAAACCAACCGCCTGAGACCTGCACCACTGCATCCCACATTAAGCTGACACGCCGTGATATAAGTGGAAAACTGTTAAAAGCGGCGTTAAACCCAACTCACTCACTCACTCACTCACCCACTCACACACAAACTGAAAAAGAGGAAATAGAATGAGAACTGGAATGAAACCATTCTGTCTCAGGCAGCTGTCACCCGAAGTCTGCCTGTCCTTCATGAGTTTCCTGTTGTCCACACTTACAAGGCCTCAAGCAACATAACCATAATATATAACCATCACTACATCACTTGTTTCAACTTGGTATAAGTGAGATACCAGATAATGCCACATATAAGGCTAGTATGTTAACCGAGGAAAACATTTGCCCAAACCACGTATCAGGACTATCAACTTTTGGCCTGACTCTTAAACCTGAAGACATATCCTTCCATTCAAAATCCGTACAAAGAGAGATATATTGCTGGTCGACCATAATCCGTAATACAAGCAAGTGGGAGCCACGTTTGATATATTCACTGAAATTATTTGAGGCAAATTGCATGAGGATTCTGCTAAAAAACTTAAGGGAATTTGCAAATTTCAATAATGTCAAAACATTTGATTTTACAACGTTTTACATTGTTTTACATGTCTCCACATGTCCTCGAGATTATAATATACAGTATGTATAACACCTACTTCCGTACCCGTCTGTTCCCCATCCCCGTGGATCGTATGTACAGTGAAACTTCGTTAACCCGAAGTCCTCATGAAAAAAATATATCGAGTTATTCGAAGTTCCGTACAAACGGAATGGCGATATTGGGCGAAATGTGATAAAAATTCCAACGGGACAATAAAGATATGTGTATATGTCGAGTTCGAGAACGCTTCACATGCATATTACAGTAAGTTCATAGTCAGGGCAAAGCCTCAGCTCTCTCAGACAGGAACCCTAGAACCCAGGCTGGATGGCCATTTGTCGAACAATTTGATAACAAACTGATCGGATCTTATCTTTGATCATTAAGCCCGACGTCGTCCATGGCGTATGGCCAACCCTCGCCAAAGGGCAACAACCACACGGCGCGAAATGATCGTATCTGTAGAAAATATCATGTGACGTAAGGTCATACCATGATCATTAGGCTCAAACTGATACTGTTGCTGGAACGACTAAGTGTTGATAGTGCTTTGTGTTGATACTGTGAAAGTTCAGAGAAATCGCGCTCTGCAAGACCACATATAAATGCCACAGCTCGACCATACAGTACAATGAATAACGCTATGTGTTTACCAATGAAATATTCATGTCATTTGGAAATATACATACCATTGATATTCAAGTACATGATGGCCGTTTTATATAAAACACATACATGCGGACGTCAATACACCAAAACCAACGTTTAGAATAAACCCTCGCTCTGTGACAGGTGGTGATCAAGCCTGAATATACAATATACAAAAATGAAGAAAATTACCATTTATGAATTATTACCATAATTCTAACTAATCAATTCTGACAAGCAACAGATGCTCATTGTCAATAACTGTCACCTGAATCTGACGAGTCGACACGTCTAGATTTCCATGAACATAATCATTCCTTAACTGCTGGTATATGCTGCATATTGATTATCGGCAAGTTCAATGCCAACGGAAATGTATATCAGTTATGTAGCCAGCGAGAGCCAATATTAAACCAGATTTTCTAGGTCAGTGTGATCTACCCACAATACACTGCAGATACGGTCTAGTAATCCTGTAGAATCTGAGACAATGGAATGTAATAATTAATAAAACAGCTCTTTGAAGTGAATCGTGTGATGTAATCGATGTGAACAATACAATTCTATTTTTTTTTCATTTTTCAGCCTTTCCGAAAAAAACCATATATCTTATTAAGCATGCATATGCATTAGAAGATTCAAAGCCAGCAGACAAATCCAATTATTTCTCTATTTCTCAATATCAGCGTGATGTTTTATTTATGAACGTGTAATTATTTTAGAGATATTCATCCGCCTGTTAGGTTTTCAACCAGACCAGACATATATTTGAATTTGGTTGATGGATTGTTGCTATTACCTAAACAATTTCTTACAACATTAGCGTCTATGTGGTCCATGTGAAGTAATTACAATCAGTCAAATAAGCCGGAGAGCTTCGTCATTGTCCATACGTGAATGTCTGTTCGCCATTGCAGCAAGCAGGCATCCATGATGGACACAAGCCGTTGTTCGTACCTCCGCTGTAATCTCACGGAGAGACAAGCTGTCACGGACGTCGAGGGGTTGTTATCAGGAAATTCACAACCTGAATAGCAGTGAGTGGAATGCAAATAACAAAATGGACATTGTTAATTTCAGCTATTGACACATGTAAAAAGTGTCATTCACTCGAGAAGGCATTAAATATCTGATCTGCAATGGCTGTTTCATTATGTCTTGAGTTTGGTGTGGTGTTATTTACTACGCTTTATTCGCATGTCTGAGATTATTTGTGACTCAAATGTCTTTTTTAGTTTTACAGGTAATGATAAAATTCGAAGATGACAGGCATCTTTCACAAATGCATCATGGTTGTATTGTTTTCCATTACCTGGTATTGATGTATGTGTCATTTGTGACAGTTTTGTCCTGATGAATTACGCATATTCACACAAGTATATAACAAATGTAAATGAAGGCCACAAAATACATCTCAGAGTGCTCTTACTCTTATTGTTTCGAGATTAATATATTCTGCAAAGCTGTAAATAATTAAATTCGGACAGTCATGTAAAATATTGACTTCCTGCGTTTTTTAAAACGAGTGATGGCCAAATACCTTTCCTTAATCATAATAAATATCTGCTAAAAAGAGTCCTTTGTACTATTCCGACTGTATCATATGATCAGTTTATGAATCACTATGAAATGATGATGCCAGGTGATCGTGAAAAGGTGAGCGTATTCTTCCCCACCGGTAACACAATCATACATCAACAAGTTTGTTTGTATGTTTGTTTGTTGTTTTACGCCGCACTCAGCAATATTCCAGCTGTATGACGGCGGTCTGTAAATTATCGAGTCTGGACCTAGACAATCCAGTGATTGACATCATGAGCATCGATCCACACAATTGGGATACGATGACATGCATCAACCAGGTCAGCGAGCCTGACCACCCGATCCCGTTAGTCGCCTCTTACGACAAGCATAGTCGCCTTTTAAGGCAAGCATGGGTTGCTGAAGACCTATTCTACCCCGGAACTTCACGGGTCTTACCATCAACAAGTGTGCTCCGCGGGACACAGTAGATCCCTAGCGCCCCGTTATAATGTAATGACAGCCATTGGTTACAACGGCCTTGCTGGTCGATATGTCATCATGCCCCAACGCCGTTGGTCGGTGTCCATGTTATCGACCACTTGTTTGACTTGACTTATCAGGTCGAAGTGATATAGCGGATATAATGCTGACATATCAGTGCGGCATTAAACAATATTCACTTGTTGGCTACAGTATGTGTAGTGTTTGACTACTAGTGTATGATATGAATGTATGTACCAGACATATATAGTGAGTGAGTGAGTGAGTGAGTGAGTATGGTTTTACGCCGCTTTTAGCAATATTCCAGCAATATCACGGCGGGGGACACCAGAAATGGGCTTCACACATTGTACCCGGGTCTTCGGCGTGACGAGCGAACGCTTTAACCACCAGGCTAACCGACCGCCCCTCCAGACATATATAAAGGTCATATTGTACTTTATCGGTACTCGACATTAGAATAAAATATCGCATTTATAATTTAATAACAAAATGGCGGAGTGACATTAAACATTAAGCTTGCGCTGTGGTTGTTTCCCCACAGTATCAACAGGGACCAGACCGGAAACATGATTTGATTTTCTAGTCCTCCAGTCCCAGTTATGTTTTTATTGATCTTAACGCACCCAATACTACGCATATAAAGCCTTAACATTATTTTATAACGCAAGCGCAAAAATCAAACAAAATATATCTTTAAATATTGACGAATACTCCGTCAAAGGATCTACTCCAAATAGACACATATATTGAATCAATCTTATGAAATCAATACAAATAATGTCGCTAATATTGTCCCAAAATACCATTTGGTTCTGTCAGTGTTAAAATCAAGCAGAGCTCTTCGAAGGAATGGGTTGTAAGTGGTTTGGTCTGCTAGCGCTTAGTACAGTATGTTTAAGCACTTTTTCTCTCAGGTCGGTTTAAAATAATCTCGAGATCAGTTTTGTGTAAAAAGGGTTTTATGTGATCTGACAGTTAGATTTGCTACTTAAGTAACATCTTAAGAATTCGTGGATCAATCTTTTAGTAATTAGTACTGATGATGTCCATATTTACTCCCTCTCACCCTACAACAATACTATCGCGAGAAACTGATCAATAAATGCTAGGATTCCCCTACGTTGGAGAACTCGCTACCACGGCTGTGATAATAACAGTCAACATTCTATAATGCTTTTGCTTGTTCGTTTAGAATCTACAGAATTCAGTTCCAATTTTGACTTTATGGCTCTGATTAAAACTAAATAAATATACCACTGGATATAATTTTACTTTCAGACTTACACCACAACACTGGCTGATCAAAACGAATGACCATCTCCCAGCGCTATTAGGCTTCCTCGACTTGGCACCAGATGAGCGTGAGCGAATTGCGCGCGCAGTGTCAACACGTGACTACCGATACGGTTAATATAGTAGAGAGCAGTCAATATTTTTCAGTTTGACTCCTAATAAGCTTTGTGTGTCGGTAAGTACAAATCCCTGTCAATGAGGCGGGGCTACCGACTGAAATGAAAGGTGCCTGGGACCGGCCAATCAAGGCCCAATACTGACTACTTTTCATAGAGTTGTGCTGTTTTAATTGTCATGTGAAAGGAAAGCACAAAACCAAAATCGGTCCCTCAGGAGGGGTACACAGTCCTCATTAACATTAGCACATGGCTGTTTCCACTTCTTCCAACGATTTCTAATCATGAACCTTCAACCAAGTGGAACGGACATGACCAAGTGAGGAAACGAGGAGTACTTCAATATATCAGGTAATAGCGAATATATGGAATCTGATGAGGAGGATTGGCTCTGAAGAGGTGTCATTGGAGTAGCAGTGAGGTTAATACGTATATTATACCCTCAGCTTAATTTTATTTGGATTTGTTTATATTTGGCTTATCTGACCATTCTCTCCACGATTGTGACAACAACAAAGATCTACCGAGCAGATGTTAACAACGAATGGAAATAGTGTGAAAAACATTAGTCACTGTAGTCGGCACTTTGTGACAAATGTCAGTCAAACTGAGTGAAGATGCGAACTGAAGCAGCACATGGACAGCGAAATGTTCGAGGACTGTGAGAGTGAGGGTCGTCGTTGACGGGGAGTTAACAACTTATGTTTGGCGGGGGCAAAAAGGCGACGGTGAGAAAACATCTATCAGTTTGCGTTAATGAAATGATCAATATTTTATCGAGCTCTCTGATCGTCTCGCTCGGCGTGTACACCTGCCCCGTTGAGAGTTCGATCGGCAGATGGTCAACACAGATTTGACCAGTGGCTAGAGGTTTGCTGTCCTGGAATTACCCTCCTCTGCTTGCTAGGCTCTTGGCTCACTTGAATAGACTGCTGTACCTCCGGGCTTCCGGACTCGGCAGAGAGGAAAGGAGTGGAGAGTCGTCTAGGTAGGCTCGAGACATGTAGGCGGTGTTTTCATGCTGTGTGTCAGGAATGTTCAAACAGTTGTGTTCTCCGATAGCGAAGCGTTAAGTGCGTACAATCGCCCTGCAATGCCGATGGTTCAAGACAAGATTTGGACTGTTTCTGATACATAAACATTGACAGATGCGACTTAAACCTCGGATTTTGTGATTGCCATCAAAGAGTCAAGATTTTGCCAAATAGTTCCAACCCCTTGACAGATTTAGCTGTCTCGGGGAACGATCTCTTTCCCAATCCAAGCTCGCCTGAGGGGTCTGGCCCACTGGGCTACCCCGGACAGATGAAGGAGTTAGATATGGAGGTAGTTGTAGCGAAGATAATTTCGCTAGTCATTTTGACTATCTTGACAGTACTGACGGGTCTGTGTCCCCTACGGATTCTTATGCATGCCCCTCACTTTCTCTCTAAGAACCGCCAAACTATTGAGTACTTCCTCTGTGGACTTCGGTGTTTCTCTGGTGGTATATTCCTTGCGACGTGTTTCCTTCACCTCCTACCGGACACGCGTAACAAGATACAGGTCGTTATGAGGAACATGGGCTCTCGATCAACGTACGCTGTTCCAGAACTTTTAATAATGGCTGGATTTTATGGAATTGTTTTCGTTGATCAGTTCATTAAGTGGATGTATGTTAAAGCAAGTGAGGCGGAGCGTAAGCCAAAACGAAGGAGGAAGAAATCATTACCAATAGAGGACACGCTCGGCCTCGACCACATGGAGATGAACGTTGAAACTACGAGTCTCAGATCGGACGGAAATCAGGATAGGTTATCCGAAGATCTCCATATGAACGACAGAGTGGACGAAACAACTATCAAGGACACTCTTGATTCGGACATTGAGCCTGCCCCTTTCCAGGATATTGAGGTAAACAAAGTAGTGTCTGAATTCACCAAAGCAGACTATTCTAATAAAGGGCATGTTAGACTGATTATCTATATAACAGCGCTTTCCTTCCATGGTGTTTTTGAGGGTATGACCCTGGGTTTGCAAAGTGTTGAGAGCAACGTATGGAGCCTTTGTTTTGCGATCTGTGCCCACCGCTGTGTTCTAGCCTTCAAACTAGGAATGGACTTGTGTAATACAGAGGAAAAGCAGGGTACAGCCTGGCTTTGTATTGGAACATTTACTCTCATATCTGCTTTAGGAATTGTAATAGGGATTGTTATATCATCGGGAGCTATGTTGTATGCTGACGTTACCGTGCCCGAGGCAATTCTACAGAGCCTTGCTACGGGAACAATATTTTACATTGTGTTCTTTGACATTCTCTTCAAGGACCTCCAAGGTAAAGATGATATGAAGAGGATTGGATGTTCCTTTGTGGGTTTTGTTTTGATGGCGGTTGTGTTTGCGATCACCATGTCATGATAGTCAATCCCAAGTGCTATTTCATTAGAGAGCGACGCGAGTGTGCTACCATGCTCTAAAACCACTGCTTCTACCGTTCCCAAGAGCTTTCGTAATGCTGAATGTTTATTGTGTTCTGCCTGTAGATCTCTTTTCTTCGACAAATCACATCCTGTATTCTGAACATAGATTTCCACATCGGCCACAGAACACTATACTGCGGTTGTGATACATCTTTGTCAGCCAGAATAATCGAACAATGAATTCCGATTTGTGATGTACCGGTCTCGAAATTCTCCATAACACCTCAAGGGAACATGTCTATATTTGATTTTATGCCCTCGAGGGTATTTCTCTTGATCAAATGAGGGGATCAAGGAGACGAAGACATTTTAAAGGATTTGACGGATTCTAGCAGACACTGTAGTCATAAGTCAGTTTCCTCAATGCTTGGTTGAGTGTGTCAAATCAGTGGTGAGTTTCTATATTTCCACGCAGCCAGAAATTCATGTCAAAGGGCGCTTAATGTTTTCTAAGATGTCCAACACACAGATGTATAACTGTATCAGATCATAGTATGACATTGAAGATATTTTGCTTGTAACTCTAGTTTTGTGTTTATTGATTTTCGAGATATGGATACATAGAATGAGGCAAGGATGTCTATTGATTGTATCAACTATAGCAATTTAAGACGATAAAGCGACAAACACATGAACGTGATATTTTAATTTTCATTTCATTTTAATTATTAATTACAAATTAGAACAAAACCTGATGTTCAGACGTTTGAAATATTTTGAAGTTTGAATAATGCATCTCACAGCGAGTAGAAGGATGTAAGATCATTTACAACAAAGACACATGTGTAAAATCTTTGTGAACTGATACGTAAACATGAAGAGACTTCCCAGTTCCGAACAGAGATGTATCATGTCTGACTTCCTGTCTTCAATATTCCGAAATATAGAACGTCAACGCCAGAGCAAAACGGTAGCGGATTCATCTGGACGTAAAAAATGTCCTTCCCTGCAGGTAGCGAATGCATTTCCTGGACTTAATCCGTCACGCGGAATCACTTTATTAGGCATTTGTTGCTTGCAAAACTGATAACTAACAGGAATATATTTTTGGAATCTATGGAAATTGAAACAAAATTGATTTTTTTCATATTTGTGAAGAACAAACTTAAAAACCTAATATCAATGAAAAGATGCTGCGTTTCTCTTTCATTTGGTAAGTCTTAATGCAATAATACTCATTATTTGTGAGACATTTTGAAAAATACCCGAATTTTCTTCTCAGTAGAGAAGAAAAACAATAACCCTACATATCAATGACCTGTCCTTGTCGTTCAGTATTACCTTACCCAATCAATATTCCTTTTACCCTCGTGATTGCATGTCCATGTTATCGTTTGAGCTAAGAAAACGTACCTCACTAAGCGGCTATTAACTCGTTATTGGATTCCTTATATGTAGCCACCAACGTCCTGAGTATGTCCGTCGGAGCAAGTAACAATACTGGTGCTAGCTTGGTAATTATCAGTGTCATCAACAAAAACCCATTACTGGAATAACACGTATATAGAACATGCTATAAACATACGCTAACTTCTTAATATTGCTTACAAAGCACTCGTGTCCTCAAATTGAGGCTGAAGCTCACGTGCCCAAAACCGTTATTACTATATGTTCAGACAATCTTTTACGTATATATCTTTGGTTAGTAAATGATATATGCCTCAGACTACATTTTCTTATTGTCATAGGTTCAAGGATCTTAGACGCAACGTAATATGTCTGCATCGCAATTCTTTCATACATATCACGCATCAACGCTGTCTTGTTGGTCGATTTATTTCAATCAATAATTCAAAGACACAAATGTTACATGAAGCTGGCACCGGCTTAGCTTGAATATCATCTCCACTGAGAGATCGTCACAATGGTGAATGTATGTTTGTAATCAGACATTACCATTTACAAAACCCCAACTGTTTGCATATAAATGTGTAGAATATATACACAGAAACCATAATATCTGGACAAAATAACCAGACAGTTGAATATTTTTCAAAAGACTGTTTGTTGAGGCTATCACAATGTAGAGATATTAATCAGTTGGTCAACGTCAGTTACGATATATAGTATTTCACGCTCAGATATTGATGAAAGAAATGTGAGTAGTTTGTACTTTTAAACGTGTACCAGGATGTTTTTAGATCAATTTGGTTGAGAGCCTCTCAAGGGAAACCTCATCTACATCTGTGTCAGTCGGAGATCCGAAATAGTATCTTCATCAAGTAAACATTTACACTCAAAATGTCTTTGGTAATCTTTGGTAATAGTATCTTCCTCAAGCGAACATCTTCACTCTAACAATCTAAATAGTATCTCCAAGAGAACATTTAAACATTAATGTTGTACATGTTTGGACATCATTAATAGTATCTGCATCGAGCGAACATCATTCTTCACTCTAACAATCTAAATAGTATCTCCAAGAGAACATTTAAACATTAATGTACAATATTCAGGATCTTGAATAGTATCTTCCTCAAGCGAACATCTTCACTCTAACAATCTAAATAGTATCTCCAAGAGAACATTTAAACATTAATGTTGTACATGTTTGGAGATCATTAATAGTATCTTCATTGAGCGAACATGTACAAAATGAAGTTATTTATTGATTCTTAATGGTAATTTCTTCAATAGAAAGACTAAACTTAAATATTATACATGTTTGGCGATCTTAAATAGTGTCTTCGTCACACGAACATTTAAACTTCCATGTTAATTGAATATAGTGTTTAACTCAAATGATAACATCCCTAGTGTGCTTTATTGATTACTCGTCATTATCGAAGGATCACCTGGTATGTAGGGCGTCAAACATGAACATATGCTAACAAGCACAACGAGGGCTGAGTATATTGACAATGTACGAAGAACATGTTGTTTATGTCTATGTCACTCTGATTGGATGTTTTTTAAGGAACCTGAAAAATTGACGAAGACTAGTGAGGACAATGGAAAGTTCCAGCTTGAAGGTGATGAAAAAGCTACCCAAAACACACATACTCGTACATGACGAGTAGCATTCAATGTTGGTATAACATGGCTCAGTCCAGATGCAACTGAACTGCACACTTGGAAGATGTAAATGCGGTTTTATAATACTTTTACCTGTTATTATATGCGTGATCCCTCAATAATGACGCTGAGGGAGATCCAGAGTGCCATTTCTGCCATGAGAATGTCTGAACCATAAAAGTGTATTGACGTGACTGACGTGTACACTTGGGTCTTCAAAACATGTTTCTACAAGGTTACACATCTAAAGACTACAGACAGAATTAGATTATTTTCAGAACATTGAAATTAGATATAATCTGCACATGTTTAAAATGATATCTCAGTAAGTGCCACGCCGAAATTAATATAAGAGTGTGACATCAAAGCGTATATCGTCGTATATGAGACCCCAGGTTCTTTAATCATTAAATAGAATCGCAAACTGACAGCTATGACGACATTCGTTACCAGTCGCCCCTTTCCGTAACCCACAAGAAATCTCCGTATCGATCGGTATTTTGTACGAACACACAACAAACGAATGACCATATGACTATAATAACTTTCGACAAAGATTCATCCCTTAAAGTTTGGTGTTCTGATATAATACCTAAATTGACAGTTATTGGTGTTGGTTAATTTTAACTATCATCAAAAGTTATAGGTTGCAAAATAGCCACTCTGACATTAAGATAATATCCGTGAAGCGGTTCAATCACTCTGATGTGACTCTTTTAACAAAATGTCGGAGAGAGGCACCATCCGGCTTGTTCTTCAAATCATGGATTTAGTGAATATTCTGTCGTGGAATTAACACAATAACCCTCTAGAAAGGGATAACATCAAACAGAGCCATATACCTAGCCATTATGGTTGACAAAGTTGGTACACCCACAAAGCAACCAATTAAATATAGATCTATTCATTCTGTTTTAGCAAAACTTATCAAAATAAGTACATGGCGAAGATTGACTTTGATTGGCAAGATTATGAATATTCGAAATGCGCATTCGTAATACTATAAATTGTTCTCGAACACCAAAGAATAATAACTTTGTTTTCGTATAACGTACATCCGTTTGATTGCACAAGGCATTTTTTCATTATTTCTTCCGAGCTTACTATCTTGGTGTTTTGACACAATAACGATCCCGACTATCATTATTATGCTTGAATAAGGAGTTCATTAATGCCAATCATACAGAAACATCGCAAATCTTCTTTTTAATCTTCGTTTGTCCAAATTGTCGAAAAAAGTAATTCATAAAAGAGGTATTGATTCACTGATGAGGCCAACGTGTCTTCCTCTTGCGTCAAAGCTTTTACAAAATAATGAGAAGCTATATAAACTGATAGCTTTTAATCTTTATGTGGTCCGTTTTTTTACCAAACATTACAGTCTGTTCTCAATATCAGTAATATTCACTTAGACTAGGCGGTATTTGTTGCAGTATCGCTTAGATCGTAAAGTAATCTCATATACATCTCAAGGTTGTTGTATCCTCGTTAGTTGTCCTCTGTTAGTTAATTGCACCCTTGTGCAGCACGCTACCATGATGTGAGTCCCGTTATTACAATGCCAACAAGAATACATCGATGTTTCATCTTAGACAGGGCGTGTATGTGAATGCCAAAAGCATTATGTAGATATAAAACATCAACGCCAGAGAACTATCAGTCTCGTTTATCTGCCGAAACAGGTTCCATTGGGCGTAAAAGACAAAATAACGGTGAAAATTATATGAAAGGACCAATCCGTAGTTATTTCAAGATAAATCAATATCAACATTCTACATTTAGTATGTATCAATACATTTAGATGAAATCCAATACGTGGCAGTGCTTGAAAGTCAGCAGGCATATCTTTGTAGGAGTGAGTGAGTAAACTTTGTGAAACGAGATAGTCAGCATTTTTCAGCTATCTCACTAGAGTCTGTGAATCGACTAATATGAGCTAGGAAACACCGTTTTGATGACACGCATGGAGCAAGGTTACATATGGTAATCTCCTTTTGGGGCTGGTAAAATATTTAACGCTGTTCTATACAATTTGTTTAAGACGTTGTGGGCTTGAATGCAAGATCGATATTTAGGTTCAGATGTAACTTTTATCTCAAATATAGTTCAATGTGGAAAATCCCGAGTGTCTTTAGTTCAAATCTACATACTTAGCCTAATGGGTATTCTACGACGGAGCCCTTTTCTGTATGTTTCAATTTAATCAATACTTTCAAGAAAGGCAATTTGAAACATTTTAACATCGCCGCATGTCTTGGAGAACGCATTTTGATATCATAATAATGTACAGTTCTTCTCATTCTGGACTGCATTTGATTGAGAGGCAAGCTGGAACGTTTCCGTTGATGAGGATCACATTAATGCTAATATATTTAAAGGGAGCTCCCACTGCAAGGCAGCGTGGCGTCAGATAAAGTGCAAAATATAAATGCATTAATGGTACAAAACTCGATCGAATTATCTTACATAGATTTATCATGTATGAAGAGATCGCGAGGACTTAAGT